TTTGGGCTGCCTTAACTTTGTGCTCCAAAATCCGAACGTCATGAATTTCTTTTTATTCTGCATAACTTTTCAAGATCTACAACTTTTAAGATAATCATAATTTCAAAATGTACATGGATTTGTGAAAAGTAAAGGCTAAGTTATTCCCAAGGTCTCGTATATCCACAACTAATTCCTGTTTTGAAAATTTCATCCTAGTAAAAGTTGTAGATCTCAAAAAATTATTTTGATTAAAAAAAATCGCTATGATCGGATACCCGAGGGCAAAGTTACGTTCGTTTGAAGTTTCGGCCGAAGTTAGGAGTTGATCGGAAAAAAAAATTTGGACCAAACCGATGGGTGGGGTGGCGGTTTGGGCCAAAACCGCTGCCCCACCCAGCGGTTTTTATAACGGCCCCTTAGCCCAACAGTTTGCATGGAAAACTACACCCCCACCCAGCGGTTTTCGTGTAAAGCGCAAGGTGGGGTGGTGGTTTTTGAAAAAGGGTGGTATTTTTAGAATTTTTTTGGGGTTGGGTGGTATTTTTGGAATTCTTTTTTTAAACAGTAGTATTTCTGGAAAAAGTCCCCAAGCTAGCTGGTCCATTAGGAAGCAGGCAGTTGACGTAGTAGAGGAGTGCATCGACCGGGAACATCGATTATGGCCTCTCCAAGCGAGCTGGTCCATTAGAAAGCAGGCAGCTGACGTAGTAGAAGGGTTCATAAGCCGGGAACATCGATATGGCCGCTCCATCCTAGCTGGTCCATTAGTAAGCAGGCAACTCTACTAGCCGCCAATTCGCTCTCAACTCGTTCCCTTCCACGTCCCCGCGAGCAAGCTGCTCTCGTGGTAGCAGAGAGAGCAAGCTTCTCTCGTACTACCGGGAGGGAAAAGCAGCCCCATGCCGATGCCGATGCCTTTCCATAGCCGCGAGCAAGTTGCTCTTGTGGTGGCAGAGCGAGCAAGCTGCTCCCGTTATCAGATAGAGCAAGCTGCTCTCGCAGTAGCAAGCAAGCACTTTGGAGGGCCGGTCTTCCTTGATGGCCGCGCTATTGCTTGGATTTCCCGAGAACAATTACGTGTGAGTTTAATCCGAAACTCAATTAACGTCTGTAACTTCCTTATTTTATGTCCAAATTTGACATTGCTTAAACCGACAGTTAACATTTTTAGTCCTCATTGATATTACGGTGGAACTTGACCCAAGGGTATAATAGTCATTTTGAATTTTGGGAAGAGCGGGGTGTAACACTAACAATTTCAATTACTTACCGTAACTCCCCGGCAACAGCGCCAAAAACTTGATTGCTGCTTCGATCGAGCTTTAAATTTATAGAGTCGAAGCGCACTTACTAGTCAATCCTAACAAGGCCATGTATAACCAAACTAGGGATGCAGTAAAGCGGCTCGGTCGTATTCCAAGGGTTACAGTAGCCTAGGCTACTTAGGCTCGGTCATTATCTAGTCAACTTGTTGTTTTGCAAGGGGAGTTGACGATTCTTAAACTAAAGATCAATAGAAGAGAAGAAGTACTCAGGGTAATTACCTCGCCCTAGTCTAGGTCTACTATGTAATGTCTAGAAACTTAGGGTTTATTGAATGTGGTGAGTGACCTCTTTTCCGTGGGTTTTCGTGGTTATCCACACACCTTCGAGTACGTCTAACCTAGACCCATATAAAGTTACCTCAATCTAGGCTATCGTATTTGGGGAATTGAGCTCGTAGCTCCTTTCAATGGGTACTACCCATCGTCCAAACCGAGGTTTCACCCCAAGTTCTATTTAGGAAGGCTACCTATGGCAGGGGTTCGGTCACCTCGACCACCATAGATCCTTATTCATACATCTAACCTAATTTACTTGATGGTGCATAGCCGTCTAACCCTAAAACTAAATACCTATCGTAGAAGCATAAATTAGGTTAGTAGAGAAGATTAGGACGACTTACCCAAACACAATCAAAGTCATAATAGCAATAAAATCAACTAGAAAAACACATTCATTCATTCAAACCCTATAATATCCATACATACATAGTAAATCTAAAACTAGGGTTTGGGGTTTAGAACCCCTAGTACCTTGGCAGATCACCCCGTGGAGGGGGTAAGAAATTGTGAAGAAAGGGTCTTCAAGTGATGGAAATCCTCCTCCAAGCTCTCCGCCACTTCTTCTCATTCTCTTCTTCTCCTTCTTCAACTTCTCTCTCTAATCTCTCTCTAGAATTAGAAGTCTGCCAAAATCCACCTTCTAAATGGGGAGAAGTTCCCTATTTATAGACTTTAGGGGACACAGACAAGTTCGCTTGCAAGGGGCTGAAGATCGTGCCCATGAACTAGAGGTTGTGATCTTAACGACAAGTTCGCTAGTAAGGGACTGAAGATCGCACCCATGAACTAGAGATTGCGATCTTAACGGAAAGTTCGCGGGCTAGAGGCAAAAGATCGCGGCCGGGATCTTTGGGGTAGAGGCTCTGATCTTTGAGGGTCACCATTTTTGCATTGCTGAATGTGGAGTTCGAGAAATAACATCCCGGTCAAGATCCGAGGTGTCATGGTTGCGATCCTTATCGCGGGCATGAAAGCCTTGGACCGTGATTAGATTGGGGAAACTTTCTGCTTCTCCCAAGCTAGCCTCTTCTGAATTTCACAACCTTGGCTCCAAAGTTCGTGGCCGTAAACTTGAGGTTGCGATCTTCAGGTCAAGCTTGCGGGCTGGAGACAAAAGATCACGGTCAGGATCTTTGCACTACAGGCTGTGATCTTGTGCTCTATTCATGCCCTCTCTTCATGGCTGGGATATTGGCTCCTTCAGCCATGATCTCCATTTTTTTCCCTTTTCGTACCTAATTCACATGTATTGTCTAAAGCACCTTAAAATCATGTCATAATCAAATAGGAACGAAATAGGGATGCAATCGATGCTATTCTACTAATTATGCACATGAATTAGCATGAAACAAACCTTAATATGAAGGATAAATAACACCAATTTATGTGAAATCAAGACTCCTAGCCACATTAACATGCAGACACATCATGCAATTCAACCCAAACATCAACAACTAACTATGCATTAGAGTCTCAAAACATTAGGGTGGAGCTTTTGATATATGATTTAAGCTTTGAATGCTTCTACCATCAACTTGGCGTTCCCTTAAGCAATTTTCCTTATTCGCACACATACTCATTTTTCTATTTTTGAATTTTCTTCTCTTGCAAATTTTTTTTTCTTTTTCTAGACGTTTCTTGTGTGGAGAGCTTTCTATAGCATTAGACCCTTATTGGTTGAGAAAAAGCTAAAAGCTTCTATACCTTAACTCGTGTGGATGGTCAATGGAGTTGAGGGGTTTCAGAAGCTTTATCTGTCCCCTTAAAAACACATCCTCTAGTTGGCTATCAATTTAACACGTGAAAATTTTACTTGTACTAGAGAGGAAATAGCATCACCTTGTTGGACTTGCCCACTAAATCTCAACTACTATCTCTTCCAAAACCCGATTTTGTGCAATTAAAAGATGCCCCACACGTTGGGCTTACCATCCACTATATTTCTCAACATAACATGGCAAATTAGCTATCTAAACATTTTAAAACAAGAGACTTTTGCATAACTAGCTATCTATGAATAGATCAAACAACATAGCATCCAAACATATCAAATGGTCATTTCATCGACTATCATATCCTTCATAGTTACTACATTATTCTCCCTAGATCAAGTGATAATTTCTAGCCTCATCAATTCAAAGTAAGATGAGTGATCATTCACGCAAGTTATTAAAGTCCTCATCTATAGCATCACTAGATCCCTTCTACTAAGGCCATCATACTCAAACTTTTGCCACATGCAATACGAACTTGACTAGATAATGTGTGTTTCGCTTCATGACATCACCTAATCAATGAAGAACAGAGAAATGAGGATAGCACATGATTAAGTGTGGGCCTCTTAAGATATATCCTTCCTCCCTCTATCCCTCAACTCGGCTTGTTGGGCATAATTTTCCCTCACGAATAGTGTGACATCTTCCCCTTTCTCTTCCAAATGACTCCAAGTCTATTGGCACAACATGCCACGAAGAGAAGGAGGATCGAGGAGAAGACCTGGTTTCTAACATCATTCTAAGAAGGGGTGGAGGAACGAAGATGAGCATAACAATAAGAAGCATAAAAAAAATCATTACCAACAGTCAAGATTGCAACAAACTTTCCCGAAAGAGAAAGCCTTTGGATTATCTATGATAAGATGAAGACTTTTTCAGGAACACAGAAAGACAAGTTATCAGAAAGCCGGGGGGGGGGGGGGGGGGGGGGAGAGAAAGATTTAGTGGGGAAGACAGAGAAATAATATTTTGATCACGATAGTCAAATTGCAGACGTCCTAGCCACTGTCAGAGATTTCTTTGACAAATTCCTTGAATAGTGAGAACGTCATATCAAAGGGAGAAAGAAGCCCTAGTTGTAATGATGATGTTTACGATGTTTACGTCATCCGGCAAGAAAAAAACTCGCTTGACTATTCTGGAAAGACAATAACTATTCTGGAAAGATAATAACAAATGTGGGAGAACCCTTGCCCGATAAGTTTCAAAAAAGGTTATCATTTGAAAATTGTTACCAAACATATCCCGTGAAGTATTCTCCAAGCACTCATTCACGACCAACAAATCATAGTCTTTCTGATTGCTCATGAATAGAGGCCATTATTTGGGGATTGAGCACAAGACTCGGACAAAGAGAAGTTGTGCCCGATCTCAAAAGGTCCTATTGGCCTGAGGTGCAGACGTCCAACATGCACAAGGGTTGAGGTGACTACCTTTTTCCATGACCAAGATGCCACACTAGTAGAGGTGGCAATTAGGATCCAAATCCATGAATCCAATCCATCCACCAAATTATCCACCTAATCCAATCCATTTGATCCAAATCCAATTGGATTGGTGGATTCATGGATCAATCCATGGATCCAAATGGCAAATTATGATTTGGTCCCAATATATTTTTATATTTTACATTTTGGTACCTAAAATTTATATTTTATACGAAAAATATCGTTGGAAAATTACATTTTGGTACCTAAATTTTTTTATTATGACATTTTAGTACCTAAACTTTTCAAAATTTACATTTTGATCCTAGCCAGTAAGAGCTAGGAACTGCCCGCAAGCACACCCGCCTACACAGTACTTGACCTAGTCACTTCCACTTCGAGGGTGTGAACACCGACCGCTCGACAGGCTGCCACACCAGGTGCCTGACTAAGGCACAACCCAACTTCCACCGAGGGATAAGAGCGTGTGAACATAACACACCTCTCCCTCGAGTCAGAACTGGAGACACCACTACTCACAACATTCACCTTGCGATGACCACAGTTCACACCCGCGTAGGTTCATCCTGGTAGCAAAAGTAATTACAGTTTGTATAGGAACACCAAGAAGTGCTAATCACATGCAATGGCACTTGGGCGCAGGTAGGACTTTAATTTTCCTGTTTTTCACTCGATAATAGAGACGCACTAGTGCCGGTAAGAAGAAAAACAAAGGCATAAAGAGCAAGAATTACAGTGGGAACCATCTGCCTACTCTGACCCAATTAAATTTCAATATCGGAGCACAAACCTGGAATTCCTGATCCAGCTACAAACGCTGTCAACAATTATCATACCTTACAACACGAACCAAAAAAGAAAAAATGGATGAAAAACTATACAGCATACAAAGTAGATACATGGTACATATAAGGAGTGGAACGATAATAATATCGTCTGGCTGATTCGTATGGTAGTAGTAGTAGTAGTATCCACATTCGAGGTCTCAGTGCAGTGATCAGCTTACAGGTTATCGTGGAAATGAGCGATTTAGTTGGGACTATTTGATTTCGACACCGAGCGGGTTGATGGGGATTAGAGCATCATTCCCATGTACTTTAACCTGCACAGTCCAGTACTTGTGTGTACCTACCAGCCAACAGAGCAGAATCAGAATGCCAAACAGGTAGTCGTACCAAAACAAGTTAATATACTACGATTTTTAATAAGCATCATTGCCATGGTAAACGCTTCTTTAATCTCAAATGCCAGGTATGATAGAAATTCTTATTTAGCACCCCAGAGAGGCAGAGACAGTAATGATATGGATCATGGATGAATTTGCTAAATATACCCAGGTTGATTAGGTTCAAAACCAAAAGAACTTTAATTTATTAAAACAGCCTAGGGTACTAACTCATAGGGACGGAAATGAACCAACATTCTTTCTTTCTTATATCTAAATGAAAAGTTGTGATATAAAGTTGAAGAACAAAGAGGAAAGAAAAGTCATGGAATATGTTCTTAGTTTTAAACTAGCTTTAAGCCCGGCCGTTGGCCGGTTGGGTCTCATTTAATTATTTTTTTTATAATAAAAAAATTATCCACTTTCAGCCAACCAAAAAAGAAAAAATTACCACTATCCATCTATACTGATTAATTATCATCATACTTCAACTATTTTGTGTACATTTTTCAAGATATACTTGTGATATTTCATGTAGCCAACTATAAGTTTAAGTCATAAATAATTTTATGTTTTATGAGATATTAACTTGTATGAATCAGGCAATTTATCAATTATACACTGAATAATTTTTAAATAATGTTTAGTCATTGACGTATGAAATACACGTTTCAAAGTGAAGACATTAAACTTTCAATAAAACAAATTAAATTTTGGCAAAATTTATAAAATACTATTGTTAAAAAATTTCAATATTGGGCATCAATCTCATGATAGTTCGTCTATTATCTAAAATATTGGGCATCAATCTCATGACTCATTCCCACAATGAAGTTTTACCAAAAAATTCTCATGTTGAAATTGTTATAATATAAAGTCTCGGTGCATTGTATGTATGCGAAGATTCATGAACTAAACCCACTGAAAAATCTTCTTCCAGACAATATAGATCAATTTATAAAGTGAGATATTTGAGCTAAGGTTCAACTAAGAATTCTTGAAAAAATAGTACCAAGTGTATTTTCACCAATGTTTTAGAAATCCACCGCACTACCCGGTTGGAGCGAAAATATTGAATATCAGACTCTAAATGATAGGTGATTTTAAACGGGTGTAAAACAACAATTGAATCACAGTCAAACCATAATTTTTATACAAAATATCTTATTACTAACATTTTGTTTAAGAAAATTACTGACTTATTTTTGTATAACCTCCGATACAATTTCAAAATTATTAATTTTAACCGGCCAAACAAAATACAATGAGAAAATTCTCGAGAACTTGCAAATTGGACAAACACGATTCTTTTAAAAAATAAAGCACGTACTTACCAAATAAAATAAAATAAAGCATGTGAAAGAAAATAATAAAATATATAAAAATTGGCCGCTGCTGTTTGCAAATGCGGAAAAAGGAAAAAAAAAAAAAAATTCCGCAAGATGCGGTGAAGAGTTTTGGGAGAAAACGCTTTATAGTATTTAGAGATGGAGACGATAAAAGAGGTGGGGTGTTGGCCATCTAAAGCCAAAACTAATTAGATTCGTCACATGGGTGTGCGAAAACAGACAAAGTTGTACATGTGCAACACATACTTTTCTACGTTAAAGAAAACATCAAAACTGACAAGATAAGTACCTGGCATCTCGTTAGAGTGCCCCAAGTCTTTCAAAAGACTCGATACTACCCAGTCTGGGGAAGCCGCCTCCAGTTGAGTATCTGGTGAGATTGATGCCTCTGCAAGTAAGAAGAACTCGAACCCATTCCATTTTCATCACCAACAAACTGATCCGAGTAACTCGGAGTTGGAGGAGGAGACCAAACTGGAACGACGCCCCCATCCCTCTCCCTCCGTGTGCTTGAAGAAGATTCTGATGCAGAGTCGTCTGCAGCATTTGCTCCAACCCTAACCATGTTAACTTGAGGCAAAGGGTTAGCCCGGTGAACAGTCTGCATAAACTCTTCGTTTGAAGCATCTCCCCTCAGTTCTTGATTTACATTTCCTGGAACTTCCGCTCTGCTATCTTCAGCAGCATTTTGGGCATCTGCAGATGTTTCCTCATCATCCACCCCTCTCAGGATAGAAGTTGTCATGCTCGGCACCATCTGATCTTCATAACGGCGAACTGCTACCAAAGGATTGTTGTTTCTCATAGGTTGTTCATGATGCTGTTGTTCTTCCTCCTCCATTTGTATGTCCTGAGGGAATGCAATCGGTTCCAAGTCATAGGAGGATTCTCCAAGACCTTCTTCAGTGCCATTCTCAATTGCTGCTCTCGAAGCAGCCTCAAGTTGCCACATCTCAGAGAGTGCTTCTTCCAACCTGACTTTTGCAGCGTCTATTCCTACAATGGGGCGAGGATAGTTGGATCCCAATTCGATGCCAGCTGCTTGAAGGACTGATTCAGGTGCATTCCATGGATGATGTATCCATTCGGTTGGCAGCCTAGCAAGCTCGGGAAGCCAGCGACGGACATATTCACCATTAGGGTCGAATTTGTAACCCTGAAACTGTAGAAAGAAGATCACCAACAAGATAAAGTGTGTTCAATAAATTCAAAGTGGGCCCTACATATGCACTTCAAAATTCTACCAAGGTCATTGTTTGGATAGTGAAATTAGCAGCAGCATACAATTGAATAGATGTATCAATTTTCATCTGAAAAATCTTATATATTTTAGGGCGTTTGAATTTTGTACACCAATCTCAAATGGTACAAAGTATCTGCAAATGAGCCTAGAAAGTGGGTCCCAACTCACAAATGTATATCATTTCCATTTTCGAACACAATTTCCGCCACAAATATATGGGACCAAAACATGCTTTTGCGAGTACATCTCAGATAATACCATTCAACCATATGATGCAATCAAGACAAATAACATCAATTTGTGATTATTCGGAACAATAAAGGAAGCTAGGGAAAATGGATAGAAATATAGTATATGATCACTAGCACTCCGACCATGTATCTGCATAACAAAAATAAACAAGCTATGTAAGAGAGTACCTGTGGGTTATCAATGCGATCGAACTCACGTCCATCAGGGAGAGTTCCAGAAATGTATTGCCAACCAAGAGCATCGCTCTCTAAATCAGCATCCAAGAGTGTATCCCAGAAATATTTCATCCCCCATCTCCATGGAAGTTGCAGAACTTTAACAAAGAAACTTGAAACCACCACTCTTATCCGATCATGCATCCACCCTGTGGCCCATAATTCCCTCATTCCAGCATCGACTAAAGGATAACCAGTCCTTCCTTGTCTCCATGCCTTAAAATATCCCTCATCCACAACCCATGGAAAGAACTTGAGGTGCCCTAGGAGAGGCCTCTCGTGACTGTAGGGATGATTAAAACTCATGTACCTCGAGTACTCCCTAAGACCGATCGACTTGAGAAACAGATTCACGCTCTCTTCCCCAGCTTGGTTTCCTTCATTGGCCCACAAAACCTGCTTGATCCGAAGGAGATGAAAAACCTTTCTCACACTAACTTCCCCAAAATGCAAGTGAGGAGAGAGAAACGAGGTCGTGGCGCTGTCAGCCTTCCTACGGTTATTCGAGTACTCAAGCAACGGCCCATTGATAAATGTCGTCAAGGCTTTGTCAGCATTGCTCCACCCAGGTGACCATGCTCGAGCAAGGAGTGCATTGCTTGCCTTCTCCGATTCGTCTTCAAATACTAATGTATCGGAAGGACATCTCGAGACATCACCTGCCAAAAATTAGCAGTAATATTGAAAATTGGCAAGAGTCAATTATGAGATGGAAAGTAATCGAGGCAACAACTAAAACCTGATATAATCCTCTTAGGCGGGAGTAAAGGAGCTTCAGGATCATAAGGCATGGTAAGGCATCTTTCCCAGAAGGAAGCAAAGGTGGAGAAAGGAAGGCCTTGAGCATCAGTAACATCCCATGGTTCATAAAGAAGGTCTGCATTGAAGGATCTCACAACTATTCCTCTAGCTGTCAAAACTTCCTTGGCTCTGTGATCCCGAACAAGTGACAAAGGATCTGAAAGAACCAGTAATCAAAATAGCAGCAACTCAGTTAACTTTTCAGTTCTCTATCTCCCATACGGACAGTAAAAATCAAAAAATGACCGAGCTTACAAAATCAAAAGTTATCAACTTTATATTCGATGAATTAACAAAGCGATTTCAGCAGCTAAACCCAGTTTCCGAAGATGAAAACCCAAAAAAGATCAACAGAAATCAAGAGGAAAAGCATATAATACAAAATTACAGTGAAGGTTGAATATTAATGTCTAATACTAATTTAACAGACAGCAGCAATCCCGCGACGAACCCAATCAATAACAAAGATTGGAAAACAAAAAGGAACGCCAGAAAAGAGGAATTATTAAAGAGCATCGAATTGGAAACCCAAGAATTGAAAGGAAAAGTGGGGCAAGAGGAAGGAACCATATAAGTGGTTGAAGAAGAGGTGAGTGGCGCCGGTCGATTGAAGGACCTGAAGGAGAGTAGAGAGGGAATCAGTGGATCTCTTAGTCAGCAAAGGAGCGCCGAGATTGCGCAAGGACGAATCGAGATGGGCAAGGCTGTGCTTCAACCACCAGCGGGACACCCTTCCAGGATAGTAATGGCCTTCCTCTTCCGGCGCCCATATAAACAACGGCACCACCGTCCCTGCTCTAACCCCAGTCACCAACGCCGGGTTATCTTCTATCCTCAGATCTCTCCTCAGCCATACTACGCAACTGCACCCGCCACCGCCGCCGCCAGAGCCAGACATACCCTTCTCTCTCCCAGTCTCTATGCACCAGCTCTCCAATCACCTCCGCCCCCCACCTACAACTACAACAACACAACTCAAATTTCTCTCTCCAATCACCCTTTCCGCTTTTGGTCCTTTATTTTTTGCATCGGTTTCTAATATATTCCTATTCGCTTATAGCATTACTAGCAATGGGCCCGGCCCGTTGGCCGGTGTAGTATAAAATTGGAATGTGTACTTTGTTGTATTATAATGGCTATTGTAGTATAAAATCCTGAAACAATACACACGTCTCAAGCAATTTGAATTTGTAACTTCGACAATTCCGTCAGTAAGTATTGGTCCAACATTGGAAAGTACGGGTTTGGCAAACAGGTGAAAGTTATCTGTTGATGGTGCATTAACTAATGTTTTTATCGTGATGCTCTTCTATATAAACCTCATTTTAGTTATGTCTATTGCAATTAATTTTTGTTTAGAAGGAGAGGACTTAAAACTTTTCATGCAAATGGAAAAAAGAGATGGTACACAAATAAATTATTATTGTTAACTTGAACTTCCAATGGTCTATGAAAATGATAAATAAAATTATGGATAATCTAAGAATCTAAATTTTATGAACACTAAGCAATTCACGAACATCTCATAGGTGAAAAACACACTCTAAAACTATAAGGTTCATAACGTGGATCTTAACTACATAATGATCCCAACAATAGTACTTTTCTTCCTTGGTGTTAGAGTCGACCCAATGTTCCCTTTTAAATCTCCTTAAGCACCCTCTCCAAGATCTTCATGGCTTGCAACAATGTTGCTAGTTTCCTCCAAGTTTGCAGCAAACAAATCTGTTTCATCTCTTTGGTTGTTGTCATGAGAAGTCTAGGAAGTTATCTTCGAGATAGGTATTGCACTTGTGAGGGATTGGCTAGATAAATTGTGTTTATTTCAAGTGAAACTTGACACACACCGTACCCCTAACGATGATCAAATTCTCTAACCTTGCCTCATTTTCATGTGAATGATCATGAAGTCTCGGCTAACGATCTTATGTTAAAATTTGTCTGTCAAGAGACTCAAATTTAGTATCTTATGTAATAGAGTAAATACATTTTATTTGCCAAATCTTTCAAACTTTTCAAATTATCAACCAACCTTTTCAAAATGCAAAGTATTAGCCAAACATTAACTCCCGGTTAACATTTTTGTTAGTAATGTTCACTTAACAACATGATTATGATTTGGAAGAGACACGTGATGGTCTATATATATTTCAATTTAGTATTTTTATTAAAAAAGAGTTACAAAATTATTAATGATAACAGACAAATGGTTAATATTTTGATGTGATACAATATATTTGGATAATCTTTTGTATTTTTAATGGTTTGGATAATAATTTAAATTATTTGAAAGATTTAGCTATTAATTTTATTTACTTAATATGTATGAATTGCTAATTCTTGAAGTTTGGATAAACCCTCAGTCAATGGTTGTTGTCTATAGGTTGGCTTAGAATCTCAAACCAAAAAAATATTCACACACTATCAAGGGTTCTCTTCTTAACATGACCGTTTAGGGTATAATTTTCCAACTTTTTTTATGTGCATTTGCAATATTTTCCTTATTTTTTGTGTTAGTTTTGAAACAAAAATTTTCAATTCCCTCCAAGTAGACTGAAAGTTAAAGGCCCATCCGAAAATTACCTTATCCTTCTAAATTCTAATTACATGTACATGGGTACAGTTTAATCATTTTTCAAGGTTGTCAACCTAGTTTATCCCGTTGGCCCGTCCGAGCAAGTGGAATTAGGGTTAATGAGCCGACTTCTTTAGCTCGGTTTAGCCCGAATATATGGTAAAAATCATTATATTGTTTATACATTTATAAATTATATAAAATCTCATGTACCATATAAATAATAACATATAACATTACACCAAAATAACATGTTGTACTGAAATCCAAAATATAATGAAAATTCACACACTTATATAACATCAATGTTTAAATGTTGAACATAGAATTCCAAAGATTGGCTTAGACGAAAAGAAAAACCCGTATAATAAGCGTATTTCACAAACCAAAGAAAAAAATAACGTCGTTTGACCTCCGATCTGATACCTTGCAGCCGGTCGACCCGATGATTGTGTATGACCCATTTTTCTCACCGAGTCAAGATTAAAGCGGGCCAACCGACGGGTCAATACACGGTTTGACAACTTGTCATTATTCATTTGAGTGATAGATGAGGTTGTGAATAAGTGTAACTCCGCTAACCGCTATGCTTATTTACTCTTTACCCTCCAAATTAAATCGGCAATTCTAAGGTACCATCACGGTACCCGTGCCGTCTGTGGTTCTGACCAGTAAATTCGCGATTGGTTTGTTTCAAATTAATCGCCCAGGTTAAGATTAAATAATAATAGATTAATAAAGTAAAAAACGAACACGAAAGAATAAAGTACAATAAAACAAAAACAAAAGCAAAAGCAAAAGCAAAAGCAAAATGGTTCCAATACTGAAGACTCCTATTCCACTTCTTCTTCTTCTCTCCCTCTGAAAACCCCAGATTCGGGCTCCTCCTGAGTTCAATCAAACGACCACCACCGGAAATCTGTTGTTGCAGGCCGGCTATCACCACCACCATTCTCGATTGCTGCTGCATGCCACCGTAACTCCCAGTCCAAATAACCGCCATCATCACCATATTGACACCGGGTCGCCACTACCATCATTATTGGGATTGAGAAGAAACTCAAGGGCAACGGGGAAGATGATGAGATCCATATGTGTCTCGCTTGCGGTAGAGGTGGATCGTTTCGAGCGCTATTAATCGAAGACGAAGATTGTTCTTGCCATTCTCGGTTAAAAATATCATCATAATTGAAAGTTAAGAAAATTATAACAAAAAGCTTGGGTTGAAAAGAATCAAACCAGAAATAACAGGTCAAACCGATCTAGGTTCGGTGATGGTTACAAATGAAGGTCTTGATTTAATATTACATATCCAACGGTGGAGAATATGGAGGCACTGATGCCGGTACGGTACCACAGTCGTTGCCAAATTAAATTACCTTAAAATGAAAATTAAAGCTTAAAGAGCAAACCAATAAGGAGTTGCCATGTGGCCCTATTGCCGGATTTCCTCTCTCGATCATGCAGCAAAATATCCCCTATGAAAATACCTCTCTATCCTTCTGTACTGTGCGGTATAGCGCCGAGGTGCTGAGGTGGGAAACTCTACATTCTCACATTCGCTTATAGTATTGTGTAGATTTTATAGCTCCCTACTAATAGAAACTGCTTTTTATATCTAATCTACTACCAGAGAGACTAGCCCTGCCTAGTGATGGCAATGGGGCGGGTCGGGACGGGTACCTCAATTTCCATGCTCCGTCCCACGTTATTACGGCTCGGGGTGGGTAAAACCCGCGCGGGTACGAGGTGGTGCGGGTCGACCCACTCTTACCTGTTGTTAAAAAAATACAAGTAAATTTTACCTTTTACAATAAAACGTAGGGAACAACACTTTAAGAATGAAAAATATTGATAATATAATGGATAATTGAGCCTAACAAGTTGAAAGATCGACTCTAACTAGGTGAAGAAAAGTCAAAATAGGAGAAATATGTATATACATTGTAAGAAATTGAGATAAAATGAGTCTAGAACGGGGCGGGCCGGGGCAGGGCGGGTCGGAAGTAGATACACATGCCCGCCCCACGCTACTGCAGGTCGGGTAATACCCGCCCCATCGCGGGTCAGGTCGGGTAATACCCGCGGGGCGGGTTGAAATTGCCATCACTAGCCCTGCCCCTGCCAAGCAATTGATTATCGACAATAACCTTCCTGTTTAGTAGGGATGGTATGGAGAATAGTGCATATCCGTTACCCTACCCAATGTAGTTCGGGTTTTACCCATACTCGTACCCACACGAGAAACGGGTAGAAAATCAAAACCATGTCTATACCCGTTCGGGTTTCAGGTATCCACGGTTTCAGGTATACTCACATTACGTAAGAGGAAAGTACGACAATAATTCACTAGAATGACGAAAATTAATTAAAACAACATGATTTTATGAAAATATTATATTTATATGATAAATATAAAATATTCTAGGGAAAAATAATGATTATTTCTAGACAAAATACATATGTATGTGTATAATCGGGCGGGTTCGAGTTGGATAGTGAGATAACCATGCCCACCCGTTACCCGCAATATTCGGGTTCGAGTTTTACCCATTCCCACGAAAAATGCTTCGGGTTCGAGTATTACCCTACCCGATTAGGTCGGATTCGAGTATATATCCACGGTTACGGATATTTTTGTCATCCTACTGTTTTAGGCCACTAATACAAGAGTGCTATGCTTTCACTCAAGCTCTAAGCTTAATCTTAGAGAAAAGAAGGGGCCGAAACAAACAGGATCTGCATTTCTGATCTCTGATCTAATGGAGCAATTATATGGATAGCAATTAGTGAATGTAGAAAGAAAGGACGGAAAGGGGAAAAGGGTGGGTGGGTATTGGATTTTTGCTTCTTATCTTCTTCGCACAGTTTTGTTTCTTGCCTTTTTCATTTCTCACTTGATTAATTAAATCAAATTAAATTTCATCCTGAAACTGTCTTCGTTTTTATTTGATCTTCGTTCTTAAGGGCTAAAAGTCCACTTTCAAAGTATTTGTAATCTTATATAACTAGCTTATTATCCGACTCGTTGGTTGGAGCAGTGGCGGACCCAAAAAAAATTTATGCCGGTGTCCACTTTTAAAAAATAAATCAAATAAAAAGTGAACACCCCTAAAATCCCATGGGTCCGCCCCTAGGTTAGAGGTTGTTTAGCCAAATATTCGATTATTAGTATAGACATAATAATATTTTTGGTTCATATATATTGTGGAAGGCAACATCTCATTAGTCAGTTGTTATTAGTTGATAACAGAATAGGGAATAAGTAACGTGAATTCGTTTTAATGTTTTTGGATAGGCATGGAACACATTTAAAAAGAAGAAAACATATTATCTATGTTCTTCTGGTTTGTTCATCTTCCCACCATAGTCTAGGGCTGCTGGTTCGGTTCAAGTTCGGGTAACCGAACCGAAACCCGCAAAATCAAAAAC